GGGGGGGCCACCAAGCCCCACCTTTGTCCCCAGTCGGGTTGCAAGAGGGTCTCTGACTCGGTTTCTGCCCCCCACCTGCTTTTTCCTCCTCCGCAGAGGAGCCCAGTACAGAGACACGAGAAGAAGAGGAGCTGAAGTTCAACGAGGACATCGTGTGCCCCCACGGTGAGTGAGGAGGACAGTCCCTTCGATCGAGCAGCGCCAGGAATTCCCCTCCCTCGGGAGCCGTTTTCTGCCGCCGGCTTCCCCAAGGGATGGCTTGTTCCAGCCTGGCTGGCTGCCGGGTGGGAATCCAGCCCTTGGCACCGGGGAGTCCTTGGTTCTTCCGGTCAGGCTGACCCAGGCATCCCAAGGGCGCTCGCTCCCCTGCCCGCCAGCGTCCGACTTGACTGGAAAAACACCGTTGCGGCTGTGTGGCCGGGGAGCGGGAAGGGAAACCCAGGCCCTCCTAATTCCACTCTAAGCTGAACTGGAGAGCGGTTGGAGTCGGCCACAGCGGGGATCACTCCCCAAGGCATTGCTCCCTACCGCTTGAAATTACCCTTCTCTGCTGAGGAATACTTACCTACTGCTCGTCCAAGTTCCTTTACCTGGCCCCTGCCTCAGCCCACTCCCCCAGACTAGCAACCAGGATGATTGGGGGATTGGAGACTTAAGGCATATGAAGAACGGTTGCAGGAATTGGGCCTGGCTAGTCTAGGGAAGAGAAGGACCAAGGGAGACAGGAGAGCAGTCTTCCAATATTTGAGGGGCTGCCCCAGAGAGGAGGAAGGGGTCAAGCTATTTTCCAAGGCACCTTTGAAGGCCAGACAAGGAATAATGGATGGAAACTGACCAAGGAGAGATTCAACCTGGAAATAAGGAGAAACTTTCTGACAGGGAGAACAATCAACCCAGGGAACAGAAGTTGCCCTCGGAAGTTGTGGGAGCTTCATCACTGGAGGCCTTCAAGAAGAGACGGGACTGCCATCTGTCAGAAATGGTGTAGGGTCTCCCGCTTGGGTGGGGGGTTGAACTAGATGACCTACAAGGTCCCTTCCAACTCTGGTTTATCTGTTATCTGAAGGGAGGGATTTATATTCCTTTGCAGACAACTCGGTCATTTGCATCCTTTTTAGATGGTCGTTGAGGCCACTTGGAGGTTTTTTTCTATGTCCTCAAGGTCACCCGCTTGGAGCTCCCGGTTCTTGTAGTCTGCAGTTTTTCCCCCTTGGAAATCCATTCCTGCTCCCACACCATACCGGAATGGATTTCCTGAAGAAGCTTCTTTTGGATGAGAAGCGAAACCTCTTCAAACGAGAAAAACAAACAAACGAGGAAATCCACAGGTGCCTCCCGAAAAAAAGCACCTTTGGGCTTCCCTTGGCCCGCTGTTGACCTCGTTGCGACGTGGCCATGAGGCCATTCGGGGCACCGCGAGGGGGGTGTGTGTGTGTGTCGTGCCAGTATGCATGCACGCACACACACACAGAGACACAGACACACATACACCTTGGCCCTGCCCCTGCCAGCGTATCCCCAGGGAGCTTAGGTAGGTGTTTCTCGGATCTAATCCCTCCTTTGTGCCGCCGCACAGCCAGGAACCATTGAGAGCAGAAACAAAGCAGGCTCCCCATGGGCATAATTGCCGGCTGCCTCCTTCGTAATTGGCCCGTAACCTTAGCGACAGCTCTGGAAGGAGTTGGATGGCAACGGCCTCCTCCAGATGTTCCCTTGGCAGCCAAGAAGCAGCGAGCGGTTTCCTTTTTTTCTGTGCACGCTCCGCTCACTCGGAAGGCGCGGCCAGGAGAAGGGCTCCCAATTTGGGGCAGTGGGTGGGGGGGAAGGAAGGAGAGGAGAGCCAGCCCGGGGTTCACAACCAGCCCTCTCAGGCCCCGCTGCCGGTCAAGTTTGGGAGTGGGGAAAGAGCCAGCTGCTGCAGGAGGGAGCGGACAGGACAGCTGCGTTTCCGTCCACCCTCTTCCAGGGCGAAGCTGGCAATTGGGGCATCTGAAGGGTGGCATCCATCAAGGATGGTTGGTGGTCCCGAGAGTGTCGGGCACCACCTTTTCCTTCCCTTCCCTCCCCCTGGGAAAACCACCCCTTCTGGCAACCCATTTTGTGGTCAGTTCCAATGTCCTCCATGGGGACAGAGAGGGTTCCAGAAGGAAGGGGTCTGGAGCCGAGGTGGCGCAGTGGTTAGAGGGCAGTATTGCAGGGCTACTTCTGCTGACTGCCGGCTGCCTGCAATTTGGCAGTTCGAATCTCCCCAGGCTCAGGGTTGACTCAGCCTTCCATCCTTCCGAGGTGGGTAAAATGAGGACCCAGATTGTTTGGGGGGCAAAAGGCTGACTCTGTAAACTGCTTAGAGAGGGCTGCAAATCACTGTGAAGTGGTATATAAGTCTTAAGCGCCATTGCTTCCTTCCCTTCCTCCCTCTCTTCCTCCCGGTGGTTAGAATGTGGTATTGCAAGCTTACTCTGCCCAGTGCCATCAGTTCAATCTTGACCAGTTCAAGGTTGACTCAGCCTTCCGTCCTTCCGAGGTTGTTAGAATGAGGACCCAGATTGTTGGGGGCAAGAGGCTGACTCTGTAAACCGCTGAGAGAGGGCTGTGAAGCACTGTGAAGCGGCATATAAGTCTAGAGAGGGCAGTAAAGCACTGTGAAGTGGTATATCAGTGCTATTGCTATTTTCCTTCCTTCCTTCCTTCCTTCCTTCCTTCCTTCCTTCCTTCCTTCCTTCCTTCCTTCCTTCCCCCCCTTCTAGTGGGTAGAATGCAGTATTGCAGGCTGGCTCTGCCCATTGCCAGCAGCTCAATCCTGACCAACTGGCTCAAGATTAACTCAGCCTTCTGAAGTGGGTCAAATGAGGACCCAGATTGTTTGGGGGGCAAGAGGCTGACTCTGTCAACCGCTTAGAGGGGGCTGTCAAGCCCTGTGAAGCGGTATAGAAGTCTAAGGGCTGTTGTCACGGTGGGAGAGGTCTACCTGGGCGCACTTCCCTGGCAAGGGATGCTCTCCTGCTCTGCGGTCCTCGCGCTGTCGGCAGGGAAGCCAAAGGGCCCACCGGAATCGCTGGGGTCAGGATGGTCCCCCCTCCTCCCCCCGGCCATCGGGACAGCTTCTCTGCCGCTTCCCCCCCGCAGGCAACCTTTGCACCTTGGAGAACGAGAGGCGCGTGGTCTGCAGGGAAGCCTGGGAGAAGCTCCAGCGCTACTTCCGGAACGCCCCGGAGTTCCCCAGCAGCAGAGACTCCTGCTCCCAGTGCAAGGTGTGTGTGTGGGGGGGCTTCACAGGGAGGGAGGGAGGGGAAAAAAGCCCCCACCTCCCCCCAAAAGCAAAGTTGAGCACGGAGGAGTCACGGGAGCAGCTCCGGAAGCCGACGGTGCATGCATGATGCCCCCATGAAGCTTTGCTCCAGGAAGGCAATTTGGGGGGGGGGGGTCCTTCTTGGGGGGGGGTCTTGAAACCTAGAGGGGCCTTTCCTTCCTTGGAAGGCTCAATCCCCCCCACCCCCACCCCGCACCTCCCGACATCCTAAAAGCTTGTCTTCCTGCAGATTCTGGAGCGGGAAGGGGAGGAGAACGAAGCCCTGCACAAAATGATGGCCGGGGAGCAGAAGGCCAGCCTGCCCCACCTCTTCCAGGACAAGAACCGGCCCTGCCTCAGCAGCTGGCCTGAGGTGGGGGAGACTGGGGGGACGTTGGGGGCTGGGGGAGGGAGGGCAGCGACTCAAGGCTCCGGCCAAGATGTATCGCTGGGGGTGGGGTGGGGAGGGCTGCCCAGTTAAGTGAGGGAACCAGTGTGACCGTTGACGTCTCTCCTCCAGCCCTGTAAATTGGCAGCCACAGCAAAAATAAAAAAAGCACGATTCAGCTGTGCTTTGCAAGCAGCAGGGTTGGCTGAATTGCGCACGCACACACACACACACACACAGTGCAGCCTAGAGGTCCTGTGGGGTCCTTTGGGAGCAGGAGGGTGAGGTAGCATCTCCCTGGAGTGCTTCTGGCTTTGCTTCCCCCCC